TACAAATTTACTTTAGATGACCTTGCGATCTAGGCACCCTCTAGACATTTACGTCGTAGTGAATTGTTTTCTTCTTTGATCAGAGTGGCATTTTTTATGTCAAAATTGTGGTTAGTCTCCTTACGGTGGGCAACCAACCGCAAATAAACCAACAAAAACTACCCAATAAATTTCTATTCTCATCATAACAACAAAATAAAATCCGGCATAAACATCAGAAGAGCACTCAGAATATGCAACCCAGATTATTTACACGAAGAAGTGAAATACATAGAAAACATTTTCAAAGTTTTCCAGTACCCTAATTATTTATATTCAATGCAAAACAAAAGGCCCATAAAATATTCCAAAATACAATGTAGCCCGTCCTGGAAAACGCAATGAATCAAAAACTATATAATCATACCAACTGACTCTAGCACATCTATAATCGAAAAGAATCTATCTAAACTCAGCTGAAAAGCCGTTACTATTACATCCAAAACAATAAAACACTTAGTCAATACTAAACAAAACAAGAAGCTAAAACCTGAAGGACGAATTTACTTTATCGTCTGTAATAAGTGTCACAAAAAATACATAGGAGAAACCTTAAGAAATCTAAATAAATATTATATATACACATAAGGGACATTTTACAAAACAATACATACTGATCAAAAGAGAAAACAATTTACTACGACGTCAGGGGATATCAGCGATACCAAAAATATATATCGGATGATTTCTAATTTTACATATATAATATATATATATATATATATATATATATATATATATATATATATATAAAATTAGGGAAATCATCCGATATATATATAAAATTAGGATATCAATCGATATATATATATATATATATATATATATATATATATACATAAAATTAGGATATGATGAGATTCCGATACCTTGGTTTCAACCAATTGGTATCTTCAGGCAATTTCGGTCAATTGATTTCATATCGCTTATTTATTTATTTTTTAATTGAAAGCTACATTTTTTAAAAAACTAAATAAATGAACAAGTACACAACGTGGGATGTTGTAGAAGAGGTGGAGGAGAAGAAGGAGAAAGAGGAGTCGGGGAAAACAAGTCTATTGGAAATATATTGGTAGGTGGTTAAATGAAATATACATACATTTATTTTTTTATCCCACTCCAAATGAACTCAAAAGAGACTTTTTAGCATGAATACATAATTTCCGATCTCTGGTTTAAAATTTTTTTCCAGGGGTCTGAAAATGTTATTATAGCTAATTTCTCTTGTTGACAAAGGTTGCAGATGTTGCTATGATTGTTGCAAGGCTTTGATTGCTTTTTAAATGAAACCAAGGTAGCAGAATCGTCTGTTTTCCTAATTTTCTATACTTAAAAGCTCTACATGTTAATTTTTTTATGTTTATTTGTGTATTGGTACGGTGGAGTAATAATAACGTAACAGCGGCTCGGATTGAGGAATCGGAGAGTCGGGTTCGAATTCCAGTCGAATCTATGACATTCACTTACGAGAGGTATGAGTCCGCTTCTTCTACCCCCATAGGTAAATAGTAGAACGGACCAGGTTCTATAGCCTTGGATGGCATCTGGTCTAGTGCAGAAAGAAATAGCAACCTACTGCAGGAAAAAAAAAATCTGTCTCGTCAGTCATGTATCGAAAGATATATGATCGACTAAGCATAAATATATATATGAACCTTTTTCTAAGATATACTTTTAAAAAAATGAAAAACCTTTCCAATATCGCTGTTTCACCTGTGAGTCACCAGGCAGTAAAAGTCAGGGCTTAAAAATACTACCCCCCCCCTCACACACACAAAAAAAATTTAGAAAAAAGACATGGACTTCAAGCAGCAAAAATCGCTGACATTTTCTGTCTGATCATCAACAGGTTGATTGATGGATTGATATGATTTTTACGGTTTATCAACCCTTTGTGGGTTACATAAAGCTGAAGCATAATTTTCAGAATAATTTTTTTTTTTTTTGGTGTAGGGGGAAGGAGTGAATATGGCATTAAATGTTTTAAAAAATAACAATGACTTTTCCAGATAAAAGTTCTACTTTTTAATCAATAGCTGTGCGGAGGAGGAGGAGTATTAGTAGTAGTAGGAAGAGGAGGAGGAGGAGAAGATGAACTCATAAATTATTTTATTTACTATTTATTTTTTGAACTTTCAATTCCTTTTCGTTTTATATTTTTAAAGCATATTAAGCACTATTTTATTCGTCGAGCCGTCTCTTGAAACAGTAAGCCTAGTCGCTTTTGTTGTAATTTGTTGTAATTAACACATTAACAAACACAAGCACACACACACATATAGGCAGCCTACATTCATTCAAATATATATTGTATATATATATATATATAGTATAAAATTTCATCCTTATTTATATCCGTTGATTGCCGTGTGCTTGCTGCGCCCAAATAACTTCGACATCCATTCATGACTATCATATTATCTATTTAAATAAAGCCATGTCATACTTAGTAATTTCTGACCTAAGTTATCTTCAATAATGAACATAATAACATAGATAGATAGATAGATAGATAGATAGATAATGAAAGATAGATAGATAGATAGATAGATATATATATATATATATATATAGATATAGATAGATAGATAGATAGATAGATAGATAATGAACAGACTATATATATATATATATATATATAAAAGATAGATAGATAGATAGATAATGATACAGACTGAGATAGATAGATAGATAGATAGATAGATAGATAGATAGATAATGAAGAGAATGACATAGATAGATAGATATCTATATATATATATATATATATATATATAGATAGATAGATAGATAGATAGATAATAATGATTAGACTATATATATATATATAGATAGATAGATAGATAGATAGATAATGAACAGACTGATATAGATAGATAGATAGATAATGAACAAAATGATAGATAGATAGATAGATAGATAGATAGATTTCACATTTTGTTTCTATCACTGTTTCTGTATCTACCACAGTCTACTATATAAATACATATATATATATATATATAAATATATATATATATATATATATATATATATATATATATATATATCAGTCTGCCCTTTATCTTTTTGTCTATCACAGTCTATTTCATTATCTATCTATCTATCTATCTATCTATCTCATTGTTTCGGCTTCAGTATCTGTCAATGATGGTATTATGCATTATTCGGACTGTTGTCCTCAGATATGAACACGCTGTAATAGTAGTAAATTTTAAAGATGGCGAAACCAAATTTTAAAATCGGCCATTTAGATGTGAGTTCTTTATTAGTTGATCCTGTTTAAGAAACGTAACAATGACCCTTTTGGCTTATCCAGTGTTAGAAAGGCATTTCTTCAATTCGACCTTTTCGATAAAAGTGACAGAAAGAGAGAAAGAGATGGAGATAGAGAAAGAGAGAGTGAAAGAAAAAGAATGAACCAACGGATACCATCTGTGCGATGAGGTATGACGAGCAGAGAACAGACTGTGTTCAACAGACCGAGAGGTGCCTGATTACATTCTCTTTTTAATTGCATGATAAATGGCCGATTCGAACAGACATGACAAACAGTAGAATTATTTCATTCGCTTAATCAAACGTTGTCCTAATGGGTGGGTATAAAAAAACCTTTTTTCATAAAATATACCATATTTTTAAAAAATTGGTCTTGATATACGCCATATTTACATTATTCTGTCTATATTTCTGAGATGTTGTCCTATTTACATTATCTTTGTCTTTGCCATATGTATTACAACGTTTCGGCCCTTCAGTATCTGTCTATATTTCTGAGATGAGGTCGGATTCCTCATCTTTGTCGCCATATTTATATTATTCTGAGAACTGTTGTCCTCATCTTTGTCGCCATATTTATTACAACGTTTCGGCCCTTCAGTATCTGTCTATATTTCTGAGATGAGGTATTATGTACTATTTACATTATTTACATTATTCGACTGTTGTCCTGAGATGAGGTATTATGTACACATCATTATTGTCGCCATATGTATTACAACGTTTTTCAGTATCTGGCCCTTCAGTATCTGTCTATATTTCTGAGATGAGGTATTATGTACACTATTTACATTATTCGGACTGTTGTCCTCATCTTTGTCGCCATATTTATACAACGTTTGCCCTTCAGTATCTGTCTATATTTCTGAGATGAGGTATTATGTACACTATTTACATTATTCGGACTGTTGTCCTCATCTTTGTCGCCATATGTATTACAACGTTTCGGCCCTTCAGTATCTGTCTATATTTCTGAGATGAGGTATTATGTACACTATTTATATTATTCGAACTGTTGTCCTCATCTTTGTCGCCATATTTATTACAACGTTTCGGCCCTTCAGTATCTGTCTATATTTCTGAGATGAGGTATTATGTACACTATTTACATTATTCGGACTGTTGTCCTCATCTTTGTCGCCATATTTATTACAACGTTTCGGCCCTTCAGTATCTGTCTATATTTCTGAGATGAGGTATTATGTACACTATTTACATTATTCGGACTGTTGTCCTCATCTTTGTCGCCATATTTATTACAACGTTTCGGCCCTTCAGTATCTGTCTATATTTCAGTATTATGTCATCTTTGTCGCCATATTTATTACAACGTTTATTCGTATCTGATATTCTTTGTCCTCATCTTTGTCGCCATTTATTACAAGATGTGTATCTGTCTATATTTCTGAGATGTGGCATTCATTATTTACATTATTCGGACTATTGTCCTCATCTTTGTCGCCATATTTAGCACAATGTTTCAGCCGTTGTACGCTCCGGCCTTCTTCATGTGGCTGGAATGTCGAACTGAACCCTCTATTTCGCTCGGTGCGGTAGACTCTTCTAGTTCCACGTCCTATGAATGTCAGTTATCAGTTATCACCTGTTAAATCACCTCTCCAAGTTCTCCACTGCCTTAACCAGGTATTGAACTCACACTGTCACTGGATCTAACCAACGCTTTCATCCACTTTGCCAAACTTTGTGACAAATATGGCAACAAAGATGAGTACAATAGTCCGAATAATGTAAATGGTGTACATAATACCTCATCTCAGAAATATAGACAGACATTGTTCTTGATATATAAAAAAGTTATATATCGTTTTGATATTGTTATGGTCCGGTTCCTTGTACCACGGTGATAGTCCAAGATAGAACCAATAAAGAAGAACTCGAACACAGGTATGGAATAAAACAGATATATTACAAACAGGAATATATACAGAGAAGTAGAAGTGTTAGTACGAACAATCAGGTTTAGTAGAGAGAACAATGTATTCTCGACCAGTATCACTATTCCAATGTCTTGCAGTAATTGTCTGAACGCGACTCTGTTTCGGATTGCCTCTGACTCGACTCTTGACTCGTCTTGAACTACTGACTCGACTTGAACTACTCCTGAGGTGTAGTATTTATTAAGTATGGAATAGTCCATTATTATATTATGGGTAAGATCCCATAACAGATATATATATATGTGTGTGTGTGTCTGATTGAATAAATTACAAACATTATATCTGCTTATTTTTGTCATAATCCTTTCATATTCACGAATGTTTTTCTTTATATTAAATAAGGCAAAGAAGGCATGAAATAATAGTAAAAATCACTTTTATTCCCCAAGTATTTTCCATCTCTTTCTGAGATCATCATCAGGGGTAAGGCAAAAACTATGTACAGCTATCCATTACTGTTTTTTTTTTTTTTTTTTTTTTTGTTTTGCATTTAAATGCAACGGTTGACAATTATGCTTTAACGTTTATTAGAACATGACAAAATTATCCATTATGGAATTTTTTTCTTTTACGTTGGAATGTCATGGTCAAGTGCCCATTAAAGCGTGAAAACTGTTCTTTTTAGAGGCATTTTAGAACATTATTACGGTATTTGTAGATGATTCTATTCAATGTCGGTTTCATTTTTTAATGCAGATTGCTTCGAGGATCTGTAATTTTAATTTGTTATTTTCTTGGTGTTGTGTTTTCAATCAGTTTTTTCTATACTGCGAATGTGGACAGGAATGTTGGTGCAAATGCCTCGCAATGGACGAATGGTCAGACATGTGTAGAGTAGGGCGTCTTGATAATGTGGTTTTCGTATATCGAACATATATATTTGTTTTTCTGTCGAAGATACATTCTCCGAAGGGACATTTGAATTGATGTATAATATTGGTTTTACGTAATACATCAGTTAGTGGGGAGGGGTTATTGCGAATAATTAAATTGGTTTATTTTATTTTGTGTAAATTATGATTCATTTTATTTTTATTAGCATCCATGGAAGATATATTGGTACGAATGTTTTTTTTTTTTTGTTTTTTTTGTTTTGTTTTTTATCCTATTTGTAGTTAGAATGCATCTGGTTACAATATAAAAGCTTGATATACTTCGGTCCCTTTGAGGAAGTACCTTGTTCTATTTGACGTGTGTTGAGGTTTTTGATAAATCGTCTTATTTGTTTATCTACACTGTAGTTTGGGAAGTCATTATTAATGAGAGTCTGCTTAATATTTTTTAATTCATTGTAGAAAATCTTTTTTTTGTGAAGGAATTCATTTGTGCTTGGTTAATTAAATTCTGTATAAGTGCTATTTTGTAGTAATCTGGACATTCACTCTTATAGTTTAGAGTGCAAGAGTTTTTGCTGGTTAGTTTTTTTATATGGTGAGATAATAAATGCATTGTTATTTGTGTCTATTAAAATGTCAAGGAAAGGGATTTTGTTATTTTTGTTAAGTTCGTATTTTGAGTTCCATTATTTCTTCTATGTTTTTAACTAAAATAAGGATATCATCTACATATCTTAGGTAGATGCAGGGTTTCTTGTTGGTGCTAAATATATTATTTTCTAGGTTGGCCATGCAGAAGTTGCTGAAGATTGGACCCAGAAGTGAACCCATTGAAACGCCATCATGTCGCACATATACGTTATTTCTGTGATCTTAAAATGGGACTTCACTAGTACAGGTTAAAAGTAATTTTCTTAGTATTTAAGATTTAATTTTTAATGGGGGCAGAGATGAATTATTGTATATATTTTTAATGATAATGTCAATGATTTCTCTAACTGTAACGTTAGTGAACAGATTTTCAAGGTCAAGTGATGCTATGGTTTCTCCGTCCTGTTATATCCTAAATTCCCACTCCTGTCTACCAACTAAAACGCTTAACCAATTAATTACACTATACATACCTAAAAAATGCAGCATTAAACTAATTTATACAAATATTAAAAACCTAATAATGAAACCATAAATAAGCACACACACACACACACACACACACATATATATATATATATATATATATATATATATATATATATATTCATCACGACTCGGAAATTTCTGTTTCGGAACCTTAAATTTGTTTCATTATCAAGCGATATTCAGTAAATTTTGAAGAAAATGATTTACTTTTTCTCTCTCTCTCTCTCTCTCTCTCTCTCTCTATATATATATATATATATATATATATATATATATGCATATAGTGCAAAAAATAAATCATATATATAAATGTTTGAATGATGATTAAAGTTTATCTTTAGTCGATATACAAGGGGCGCTCCGAAAGTAATGCCTCATGTTTACAGTTTTTTAAATTTCCACCAATGTTTGAGTGACAGATATGTTTATCTAAAGGGCGATATACGAGGGGATGCTCCAAAAGTAATGCCTCCTTTTATTTTTATTGTTTTAGCTCTGCGCGATATGCAGTGACTCCGAAAGGAATGTAGCTTATGTTTTTTTTTTAATTATCTCCCCCAATGTTTGAGTGACAGTTAAATTTTATCTAAAGAACGATATAATCCATTTCATATAATATATATATATATATATATATATATATATATATATATATATATATAATGCAGCTTAATTCATATTTAAAATAGTCATTTAAAGAATTAATCAATAAAGTTAATGTAATTAATGGCTAACAGATTAAGGCATTAACTTACTGACCATTCGCTGAACGACGCCATCCTTGTTTTTATTAATTTTTCAATGTATTACATGTGCTGTCTGTATTGTTCGCAAGTACTTTCGGTGAAAACATTCACCATCTTCAGGGATAGATGCTATTTTTTTTCCTCAATTTAAGGTAATTTCGGGTAAAAATTCCAAAGACGAAAATGAAATTGAGGAAAAAAATAGCATCTATCGCTGAAGATGGTGAATGTTTTCACCGAAAGTACTTGCGAACAATATGGGCAGAACATGTAATCCATTGAACAATTAATAAAAACAAGGATCGCGTCGTTCAGTAAGTGGTCAGTAAGGTAATACCTTCTTAATCTGTTAGCAAATTGAATTCACCAGTAATTACAACTTTATTGATTTATTCTTTAAATGACTATTTGGTCACCATATATATATATATATATATATATATATATATATGAAGAAATATGGTTTTAATGTGTGC